TAGACCAAGACTTTTGTTCAAGGGCAGTGAATTTTGGATATGATTAGCGAGTTCCAGATGAAGCTTATAGAGTTCATGTTCAATTTTGGACAATTGTTGACGTGTATCCCTTATCACGGACCGAAGTAAGGCAAGCTTGCAATTTAACAGAATTCTTGAAACGCGACTCGAAGGTTTTTGATAAATTTGATTTGAATAAAATTGGGGATCAATTTTTTACATTTACATTTAAGTAAAAAGTCAAGATGATTCAGGAATTTTTGCCGTTTCAGGCATAATTTAGTGAAACGATTAACGGATGAAGGCATGATAAACAGTGCAGAAAATCAAACTAAATTAACTGAGCAATAGTAAAGTACACACAAAACAGCAGAAAATTCCCTCAGTGAAATGAATAGAAAACAAAACGTTTGTAAGCAAAATGCATGAAATCAGACAAGCAAAGCACAATATTCAAATGTACAAAACATAAACATAACTTGAAAATTGCAAAAATGTACTCACCGAAACTCTACAATCACAAAATGGCGGCCACACCACGTTCAAAAAAGAAAGCAAAATGTAAGCCTGTTTGGGGCTTCTATAATTAAGACACAATAACACGCCGAATAAATACTAATTCAGAAGTCAAACAACAAAAATCAGCGTTTTACCTACAAAATTTTCACAGGACTAGTTTCGATGGTTTTACCGAACCATCATCTTCAGCTTTCACCCAACATTATTAATCAAGCAGTTAAAAAATTCTCATCTGAACACACTAAAAGCCACACTCAAAAATTCTGTTGTCATTCCCTTCTTTCCATCAATTAGCTATAAAGTTGCACATATTTTGCAGAAATTTAACTTTCGGGTTGTTTATTCTCCCATCAATAAAATTCCAACTTCTATACTCAAGGACCCCATTCCGGATATGAATTCCTGGGGTATTTATAGGATTCCTTGCCAGTGTGGTTAATTTACATTGGCCAAACTAAGAGAGCCTTAAAATTTCACGTCAAAGAACATGAGGCATATGTTAGAAAAAAGGAAACACAGAAGTCTTCTGTTGCTCAACATTGCTGGTCCGAAAATCACACTTTCAATTTTTCTGCTGCCAAAATTATTCAAAAAACATCTTCTATTGGAGAACTGGATTTTCTAGAGGCATTTCACATTCATAAAATTCTTTCTGTTCTAGTTAACGATCCTAATTCCAATCCAAATTTGCCTTCGGCTTTTTAGAGAAAATTATGTTTAGTTCTGGTTTCGCCAACAGATGGCGCCACTTGCTTATTCTTGTTCAGGCTTTCTTATCTTATCTAATCATTATTTCCTATCTTGTTCATTTGCGGTTTTGCAGCTGAAGATGATGGTTCGGTAAAACCATCGAAACTAGTCCTGTGAAAATTTTGTAGGTATAACGCTGATTTTTGTTGTTTGACTTCTGAATTAGTATTTATTCGGCGTGTTATTGTGTCTTAATTAAATAAAAATAAGTCGAGGTGTACATGGTTTAGTGATATTTTAATTAAATGATAGTTATTTTGTGAATTTTATGTTTGTAGGAATTTGGTATACGTTTCAGTTGAAGTAAACGTGCATGGAAATAATTTAAATAAGTATTTGTAACCATTTGTAATGTTAGCAGTATGAATTCGTTGGTGACGTTTATAATATAACAGATAATTTAGAGGTAAAAGGTTTTGGATATTTTATTTATTTTATACATGGAAATGTTCATCCTTGAAAAGGGTATATACTTTTTCGCGATCAAGTAATTTCATATATGTTCTTTTTACCGGATTTAAAGATTCAGAAAATTGTCATTCATTTTCGTGAAATTTTTCTAATTTATGAGAAAAAAAGCAGTGTACATGGATATAGTGAAGAGTTTGCGCAATGCCATTTTTGTGCAGTTCTGGGATGTTTTTTTAAGTAAAAATAAGTCGACGTGTACATGGTTTATGTGTATGTGCTATTCTGAAAAACGCGCAAGGAGTTTGCGATTGTGCACTTTTTCCCAATTTGCAGTTAATATTTGTCATGATTAAGCAATTTTGTTACATAAAATTTCTAGCATAAGTGTAATTCGGCTAGTAGATTGTTGGAAAAAGTGTTTAGTAAATAAAAAGAAAAGAAACATGTCTTTACTTCGTGAAAACAAAATGGAGGCGGAAAAAGAAATAGAGGGTTGCTGTAGCAGAGTTGGTCGCCAAATTTTCGCCAAAAAATCGCCAAGTGACCATAATCCAAAGATCAACCAAATTTTTTTTTCCTTCATGCCTGTTATTAGGGCCGGATTTACGTATAAGCTGCACAAGCTGTAGCTTAGGAAACCCACTTTTTTGGGGCCACCTTAAAAAATTGGGTACGTTTCCATTTCGCCGGTGCAAATCTCGCCAAGTAAACTTTATTGGCGAAAATACACAGTATGTACATAAAAAGTGTTGACAAATGTTTAGTTCTAAGAATTTTTTTCTTTTTAAGGCATAAACATTTTAATGTCATTTAAAATTTTGTAAAAAATCCAATAAATTTGTAAAGAGACATTAATTTAAAAATTTATTTTGCTTTCATCATACGACATCCTGATTCGCCGGTTCATATCACGTGACCCCAAGTGATCTCATCTCACACCTAAACTACACTACAAAAATCTAATTCTCTCAGTAATTATCTACATTAATTTCAAGCTAAATCTTAATTTGGAATACAAGTTTAAATGCAAGAATTACTTCAATTCCTATGAATAGCTTACTCAGAAATTAAAACCGCAGTGCTTTTACTTTGCTAGTGCATTCTCATTAGAATTGATGAATTTAATCCTTGACTTTGCCATTTCTATATTTCTGTCATTGGGTAAGCGGTGTGATTGCATTCTAATTGACTTAATTATCGCCCACGGATGGCCTTAGAGCACAAAATTGAACTATCTAGTAAAACTTCTATGTAATTGTGTGCCAGTATTGAAAGAAACAATCAAACAGATAAGAGAAATGGCTGTGACTTGTTTTGAAAATATAAAAGTTAAAGTAAAAGGTTACCAGCGAGGATATTTCATTTGGCATCGGTTGTACCATTACTGGCAACTTTATCGCTTGTGCCGGCAAAACTGAAAGGTACCAAAAATTGTACTGTATCCCATATTAAGAAAAAAAGTATCTGATATCCGTCATAAAGGGCCGCGTATTTAAAATAGCTTAAAATCTCGTCAAATCTAAATTACAAATCCTGTCTGTAATGCTGAAATATTTTATTCATATCTATTGTTTACTAGTAATTCATTAACATAAATAATTAAGCTGTTTAATTCATAGGCCGTTTCTGATGAATTGGAAGCATTAATATTTGATACTTCCTGTTCATTAGTAATGGGAATATTTTTGCTTTCTTAATGTTATTCAATGAATAAATGTATTGTATCATTGGTGTCTTATTATAAAGTCTTTAATAAGTTGCGACACATAAAAGATGTACCTACTTGTTAATAAACTTCTATGAAATTTAATTTGAATGTATTATTCTCTAATGATTTATTTTTAACTCTTTATGAAGCATCAGTAGTACATTGAAATATGTGATATCTCTCTCAGCATAGTCTTGCGAAGTTATCATTATTGATTTTTTATGGCATATCTGTGCTCAAGATCCTCAGTCATATTCTCAGATTCTAACCATGTCATCTATCTATGTTTTTCTTATTTCACCCTAAAACTAGTTTCTGTTCTTTGCCTGTTTCTATCTGAGGCTTATATCAGTTTGACTGCTGGATATTCTGTGACTGCCATTCTTAACATGCATCCTATGTTTTCAATCTGTCTTTGTAGTACTGCCTTATTATTATGGCTTGTTTTTGTATACATCAAATGGAAGAAAAATGTATATCTATTTAAGTTGCATTTTAATTGTAATGCAGATATACATCGAAAACGTATACATTGAAATTTTTCATAAAATTTTTAGCTTTTTTTTACTGATGATAATACCGGTTATGAATTGTGATAGAAATAACATGAATAAAATTTTTTAATGTTTCAAATATGTCATTTGAATTTCATATCTGTAACACAATGTATATATATGTACATATATATTTTATTTGAAAACATACAGACTCACCGTGCACCACATATGTACAACATGGAGCTTACAGAAGTAAGTTAACTATAACATTAAGTCACATGCATAAATTAAATGAACAAAAGCAGAGAACAGCAGTCTGGACTTCACGAAAACAGATATTCACTGGCCAAGTCACTCTGAACATTTTCAAATCGTTCTGCAAGTATAATCTAAGGGCATGAGAAAATCAAATATTCCACATCCTAAAGTACTCTTTTTGAACATTTACATAAATTGTTTGATCTTAGATTAAAATGAAACAGGTAACTTGCAAATTTACCGTGACCAGATAAAAACTGAGAAACTTTAAAATTTATAGGAAGGTGAGACTCAGAATGAAGTCTATGGTAAATAGAAGGAAAGAACTTTTTGGTAATCTCAACATTACAAGATGAAATATATTTCTCATTCCACGTAGCTAAAGCTTCTTATAATGACAGGACTTCCTCTTTGGAATGCTAATGTTGATAACAATGGGTAAATTTAAGGTATCTTTAGCTAAGAAATCACTATATTTAAAGTAAAAATAAGAATTCATCGAGAATTTTTTGTTTGTTTGTCAGAATTCAGAGTTTGTTTGGTTTATTATAAAAATGTATTCCAATACATTATTGATGCTCCATGAATGATTAAAAGTAATATGTTAGAGAGAAGTAAAATATTCATATTATATTACATATACAATAATTAATGTTAATGGTTTGACATACCTTAGATATATGTTATCTAATGTAACAGGAAGTATTCAAGCTTTTGTTACAATAAAAAAAAAAAAAAAAGAAAAAGCTATTTTTCAAATACTAAATTTGCTATATAAAATAGCAAATGTGATACATTAAATAGCAAATATGCTATATTAAATAGCTAATTGATCTTAATGATAAATTTCTTTTTAGTGGGATGAAAATCTTCTACACTTAGCATGCAAGTGCAATGAGTCTAAGCTTATTGAAGAAGTTCCTAATAATTCTGGATGCACAAATAAATGTTTGGATATTATATATATGCTAATAGATTTTGGTTTAGATACTGAAGAAAGGGATGAGGTAAAATTTGTTAGCTGTATTTAAAAACCTGTGTGATACTTGATTTAATTTATATGATTTTGTGCTTTTACTAAATAATACTAAATTAGCATTGCATCATACTTTATGTAATATAATATTTAATGCTAATTTTATTCTTTTATTAACTAATTAGACTACTATCTCATTTGCATTACTTTCATATTATAGACAACTTAATTTACCTAAATGCTGAGTCACCTTTTTTTTTTTCTTTTCTGTGCAAATATTTCATAGTATGATCATGTTTGATTGTTCTACTAGCTAGTGATTGTGAACCTCCAAAACTAAAAAGGAACAGAGAAATATAAAACACTTAGAACCATTTCAGTTTTGATCCTTATGTATTCTTTAAAAGTGGAGAAATTTTCGGATGACTAGGTATATTTTAGTCTGCTAGGATTCTCCTAACATATCCAAAGGTACTAGTGTGTTGCATTTGGTGTCAAGTTCTTACCAAATGATAAACTAGCATAAATTGCTAGATAAGTACTTGATTTGTCTATAAATAATACATTGACTCATCGGTCATGCATCCAGGTGTAATTTCATATGCCGTGTGTTGCATATTGTCAGCAGTTAAAAAAAAAAAAAAGCTTTTTTTCTATAATGTCTGAGTCTTTTCTCTGTGATATAGCTGTTAGAAAAATATAAAAATGATTTTCTTGTTTTTTACTGTCTTGCACATTCAAGCAAGAAGTACCAGTTGCCGTTTCCACTCTGTTAAATCTGTCTAAAATACAAACAAACATACAACTGTTGGGACCATCCAGTTCAAGTTATACAATCAAAAGTCTTTAATCCGGACATCCATAACCGGAATGATCTATAACCCGGACCTCAAAGCTACAAACTTTCTGCGCATGCATAAACACATAATACCTTTATGCATATGCATATACGCATGCGCAGCGCCGGATCTTTGATTTTTCTGATGTCGGGCTAAAGCTAAAACTGCTGCCCTCACCCATCATCCTAAGTTTCTCTAATAAGTTTTAATTTGTTTAATAGATACAGAAATAGGTAGGGTTTGAAGTAAAAACCTCAGCTCCATTTTATAAATTCCTTACGTGCTTTTTTTTTTTTTTTTTTTTGTTGTTGTTGTTTTGTTATAATGGAAAAATACGTACCAAAATTACATAGTTAGAAAATCGCCTCCTCCTAGGAGAACCGCCTTTCTGGTGAGCTTACTTTCGGATTAATCCTAACTCTAATACTGAAGTGCTTCTAACCCTTCAGTCCTCGAAACCATTCGTTTTTCTGCTCTAGGGTGAAGGGGCATCTCCTAAACTTCTCACTATTCCATGTTATTGCATACTGGTTAAATTACGCTAGGTCAGATTATATGAATATGGCAAAGACAGGAGGGCTATCTGCTTAGAGGAGAGGTGCTTTCGTTGGAGGAACTTTGTAAAGGAAACCTAGCTCGTATTCACGTTACACATGAAGGAAATCCACGAAAACAAGCCATGCAGCCAGCCCATTCGTCCTGGGTTTGAACCCAGGCAAGGTCGAACTACCAGCATTCAGCGGTCTCAACGACTCGGCCACTGCTCAGAGGACGTTTGTCTGATTATTTACTATGTGTTGTCGCCATTAGGCACTGCATGGAAAATGAGGAATGCCCCATGGAAAAAAAAAAAAAAAATTGTAAGGGAAACTAGCTCTTATGTATGTTTACACACGGGGAAAATAACGGAACTGCTCATATAGCCATCACATTCACATATACTTGACCCGCGGACCGAACTAATAGTGCTGCAACGGTCATTGCCAGCTAATGGGGCCATTGCATACAAAATATCTGGGCTATTGCGGAAAGGAAAAATTCTGAAAATTTTATACAGAATTTGGGCTATCACTCAGAGTATTCGTGCTTCCTGTCTTGTTTTTCATACTTCCTATTACATAAGTAATTTTATGTTCGTACCTGCCATAACGCTATTAAAATATCATGGAATTAGTAACGAAAATTTAAATTTTACTCTGTAAGCCTTTTGTTCTGCAAATCAGTGCATGGAATCGTCATAATTTGATCTGCTGTTTGATTTTCGGTTGCCAGAATTGTGAGACTTGATAAACGCTCCTGGCTCACCGATGATCATGTTTTATTTTGCTGAAACTTCAATCTGAACAGGTTCGTGATTCGTCCTCAAACAGTTCATCAGATTGCTTTTTGTGCTGTGGAATTTTTTCCTTCATTAGAGTAGACTCAACTGCAATTTTTTCGGATACTGTTTTAGATTCTTGTATTCAATATTCCATAGGATTTTTCTCTCATTTTTTATAATTCCTCAGTTTTGGTCAGTTCTTTCATTAACTACACAGAATACAGAAGAGGAATTCCTTTTGAATTTCTATATTTACTCGATTGAATTCTGGAAAAATATTAGCTCAAATTTTCAGGTTGATCGTAAATTAAATTTTTCACTACATGTACCAGATGTCCTACCTCGTGCTTTCATTCCGCATCAAGAGAAATATCTTTAATTTCTTTTAAATATTTTAACATTTCCAGTAAATTCATTAGAAGAACTTTCACAGCCACATATTTTGCCGATCATCTTGTCTGGCTGCTTCCTTTTAAGTTGTATTTTGTACATTTTTTTCATAAAATACCATCGAGTAGTGCATCCGGCAAAAAAGCGAAGTATTTTCTGAGTAATTCCAAACAGATTAACTGCTTCCAGGCACGAAGAAGCAGAATGCACACCGACAAGATACGAGGAGTGATCCAAACATAATACAAATTCCTCCAGCTTATTCATTTCTATAATCCTATATTGTACTGTTGTAGAAATGCCAGCCATATTAGAATCGTTGTCCTAAGACTCACACCGACATTGTCCAATATCTATACCATCAAGTGTCAGTTAAGACACTAATTTTCTACAATGCATTGAGAAATACATTCTCCTATCTTTACACCTACTTCTATGAAATCAATTAAATTTTCCTTTATCTCACACACGTCACCACACGTTTTTACGTATTGAATAACCTGGTTCTTTTTTTTTTTTTTTTTCCCCGGTATGAGACACATATGGAGTGCAACCGACCATTATTGTGTAGTATTTGGCTTCTTTAATATCGTTTAAAATGCTACTTCAGACTGTTTTGCCTTTAAGTTAATAATTTCATTTTGAATTATCTTTGATAAATATGATTCCTTTACCTTTGTTTGGTGCTTTGACTGGTACTTAAGAGTTGAATTATGTTTGGCAAGAGGAGAGATTAAATTCAGAAAATTTCCTTTGCTAGGTCGAAGACACTTTGTAAACAGGCTACTTTGGATATCATCAGACCCACGAAAAGAACGACAGTTTATTGAAAGATACAGTACCGCATCCATGACTATATAGAATTTCTCTCCATTTTTCTTTCTCTGTGTGAATGAGTCGCTCAGTGTCATGATCAATGCCTTGGCCCAATTTCATTTGTTGTACTCGAATTTTCCACTTAATGATGTACCTCTGTGGATTCCAGACGCTTCGTGCTCAGTTAATTTTCCTAAAACTTTTTCTAATCAATGAACCTTGTAGCATGGTGTAGGGGCAGCACCATGTTTCTGATAAATCTTGCAAAGTGTACAAAAAATTGTATTCTTGATTTTAAAATATGTAAACCAAGATCTTCTAAGCTTTTCATTATTTACTAATGTTCTGTATTACATGTCAACTGTCTGCCATTAAGTTCAATGGGACTGAGGTTTACGTTTTCTAGATGTTTACTGGCTAATAATAATCATATACTGCTTAAGAAAAGATTGTTGGTAATCTTTTATTTTTTTCTATGACCAGTCAACTGCATGGGTCCAACAAATCAAAATTTTTAGTTTTTGTCTTTCTGCTCCCCGCCCCCATCTAAATGAAGATATCTTTATATCATGGTTTCTATACTCCAGCTATTAGTTTGATGTCGATAATGTGTTTTCAAATGCTGACTTGTAGATTGTTTGGGGATGATATAGGCAGTCATATTTGGTCGTTCAAATTGCAAGAAATATTAATAACCTCTAGAATTTCAGCATAATGGGAATTGCGGCAGGGTCTGACAGTTTACTTATTCCGTAAAGTTATTTTTTCATCTTAGCTGAAATTTGTTTTCTCTATTTAGCCTTATCCTTGGCTCGTTTTCTATATTCCTCTTTTCTCCCCCTCAGTGCACAGACGGTTTCTTTTAATCTAAATGAAATTCACTATGAATTGCCTTAATAAGAATAACTAAGAACTGACGTAATTACACTGAACAGTCCTAAATATATGGTCGCGTCTCGCTAAATATAGTGTGGGCTATTAAAAGCAAGTATATTTGAAAAAAAGGAGAAAAAAAACCCGAAAGAGTACAGAAGAGACCTGAAAACTAAAAAATAACCATAAGAATAATAAATCTAGCTTTAAAATCCAAAATATGTTCCACTGTTCCGAGTCAAACCAAAGGTGAGCCTATGTTGCCAACTGACTGCAAAGAAATCTAAATGCCTTGCTTCATCTTGAAGACATTATGATGGTGTCTTGTATATACTCGATGAATATTAATTTTGAAGTATTTCATTTGTCCGGGATGGCCAAAGGTTAGTTTTTTTGGATTAGATTTTAGAAAATAGTTACAATGCTTCTCTATTTCCCAGCAGATGTTGCTATGGAAACCAGGCGACTCCTTCAATAAGCTATCGTCCTATTTCTCATTTGAATACACCCTGGCCAAACAGGAAACGATAGAGGGACTTCAGACGTTACCATGGAGGTAGGAAGTAAGATGGAGTAGCCCTAAACAGTTTCTCCCGTAACCTGCTCTGAAGCACCGGCGATTCCTACATGGTGACCAAAACATTGGGTCATTTACCATTAAGTTCAATGGGTTTTTACGCGATCGGATGTAAATATTTTGTAATTACGTCGTAAATATGCATATAAATGTATGTATTTTCTTTTTCTACAACACTTCAGAGTCCTAAGTATATGAAAACAACATATTTTTAAACAACATTTCATTCTGAACGGAATTAAATGCTATACTTTTCACAGAACAGTTTTCTCAGAATGGTTTAACTTGAATGAAATATTTTCATAAGATTTAGTTAATTACATTAGGAAAAAAAATTAAGGTAATTTGATTTTATTCGGTTAAGGTACAAAAATTAAGATCAAAGTTTTTGTATTATTAATATTAAAATTATGCATTATTTCTTTTCTATTTATAGAGCTTCTTCCTAAAATACTTTCTTAAATATGACATGATTTTTTGGCTTCTGAGGCATCTTTTAAATCAAAAAATATAAATCAATTTATAATTAATACTCTATTTGGTTCATTTTAAATTGGAGAATTATTAGAAATTAGCGAAATACTTTAATTAGTACTTAACTTTCTCTGAACATTTCTGAAAGGGATTAAAATAAGGATTTTATTTTTAATTATCCCAAATAAGTAAAACGTGTAAGCCCAAAGTGATTATTTTTCAGATATGTAAAATTAAAATGATGAGTTTAAAATGAGCAGCAGTAAAGCCTCTCCTCTAAAAAATTTTAAAAGGTACATGTTACAATAATACATGGATGTAAATATATATATATATATATATATATATTATTTAAAACATTTTGGCATTTGGAACATGAACATAAAAGTAGCGAATACTCTATCAAGGGTATCGAAAGACGTATACAATTTTAAAGGTGCCGTAAGGTATTTTTCATTCTTTAAGCATAACATTTTTGTTAAAAATCTATATTTTTGTAGTTCAGCAGCTTAGAATTTTATAAAACAAATTCATAATCAAAATTGCTGTTGTTAGTTATCTAAAAATAACCAAGATGTGATTTTTGCGTAAATGTCACTAAACTATACAAATCCATCACACTATGAATGTTTCTTTCATGCAATAGTGTCCCTTTTTCGATTTGTATGGAACTGTCGTGTGTCGAAATACTATCAGAACACTGTCAAGCCAGCTTCTGAATGTAAAGAAAGAAACACTCCATCTGGTGACTGAAGCTTCGAAGCAGTGCTTCACTTCTAGTGCCGGTTGGCCACTCCTTCCTTTCTTACCTCCATGGACGTTACTGATAGGGTCAGTCTGATTCTATCAGTGATGCCTAGAGTCCCTCTATTTGTGTCTTTCTGATCTTCTTATATTTATAGTTGTCATTGGCTGTACTTTATTTTCACTCATGTTCCTTTAAAAGGGTTCTTAGTATTTAATTATAAATCTCCTTAAAAGAGGTTTTCAAAACTCGACCTTAAAACTATTAACATTGTACTAAAATTAGAGAGCTGTTTTAGCTACCAACATACCAAATACGATCCAGCGTTATATTTGAATTTGCCGCCCACAAGAGTTGCCACCCAGGGCAAGAACCCCGGCTTGCCCCCCGCTAGATCCGGGACTGCACATGCGCATAATACATTTACGCATGCGCATTTAATGTATAATGAATGGTATAAGCTAAGCTAAAATTATCTAATTATATATTTCAGTTAATGCTGCAGATTGTGTTGTTCCTTAATCTTCGAATTGGATGCGGCTTATTATTTTTTGCAGACTGTTAGAGCAATTTCATAAAAGTAAGCTTGAACTTTCGATTATGTCAAAAAAGAATTTCCGATTCTGGAGCTGCCAAAGGATCTACAAAGAGAAAGCATGTTTCGATGTCCATCAAACAAAAAGTGGAATTGCTGCAAAAAATGGATAAAGGCATATCCTTTGTTTCTCTAACCATTCCGAAATCTGTTTATCAATTTCATGCTGCTTTGCGGGGGAGGGGGACATTGCAGCGCGCAGTGAATTGGAAGTTGATCTGTCAGCACTATCCTTATCTTCAGGGCAGATGTTTTTATTTTATTCGCCTTATAATTCCTTACTAAATGTAGTATTTCATCTCGATGTACTCCGTCTTTGATATGATTTAAATCAAATTCCTCATCATTATAAATATCACGAATACACATCAAATAGTTTTCTGGTTGCAATTTTCTAATTTTGACTATGCGTAATGTATGCTTTACACGTGCGCACATTGAAAGAAATGTTTAATAAAGTAAACAAATAAATATTAAGCTTTTTTTTGTGTGTATAAATTTTGATACCCTTTAGATCATAATTGCTCTTTATTTCATAAATTATGGTTTCATATTTTTAATTTTATAATTTCTGCTTACCATCTTACCAGATTTAACTGTATTATGATTATGCTCGACATAAAATCATTGGCATGATTTAGCTGAATCATATTTATCTAACAGTGCTGTGTTTTGAAATAGCATATTTCTTACAAGCTGTGACTATTATGTGGAAGCAAATTATCTTTTATGGATGTTTGGTTTTTTTTTTTTTTTTTAACAGAAAAAATTTTTTATTCCATTGATCAGGAAACTGTGTGTAGTCCAAATGAAGTTAGTTTCATTTAAAGTTCTAATTACATTTGAGTTATTTTTCATCAAATCGAAGAGAACCACGCCAGTTTAAAATTTTTAATATTTTTGTTCCTGAAAAAGAGAGATGTGTGTCTGATTGCCCTGAAAATTAATAGAGTTTTACTCTAAATCCATGCCAAAATAAGTTAGCTGTTTTACCCAAATTAAAATTATCCATCATTTTTTTTTATCTTCTTGTGTATATTCTTAAATATTTTAACTGGATATATTTAATTTAGTTAATTCAAAAAGCAGCTTTAAAATGTATGTCTAAAATGGCCCTGTGAAACTGTAATTAATGCATCGGTAATGTAGAAAACAAACTCTTTCAAAGTTTTATATAAGCAGTTTTGAATGTATTGTTTAAAATAAAGATTAATTAATAGAACATAGATTCTAAGTTTTACTTCTCATTAAAAAAAAAAAAAATTGTTATATATATGTTTGGAAAGCCATGTTGATTGATATTCTTTCTATTAACACACACAAAAAAATTATGATTTCATTAAATTTGAATTCCTCTCCCCATTCACATTATGTAATAGTCCTACTATGGCTGATTTTGTTTCTTCTTCATTATATTCTCCATATTTCAAAGGCTCTTCTTGTATGTAAAAGTTTGCCAGTAAGTTTGTAGGGTTTATATTTATTTTAACTAACATTTATTTTAAGTTTAAGCTATCTTTCCTGTCAAGCCTTTACTTTTTCCTAGAATTGCCAATGCAAGAGTATGTAAATTGTAGTAGAAAGCGCAGTATATTCAAATTTTAGCAGAAGTAAGTTGAGTTTAAATAGAAGGGAAACGAGTTTGTAAGTGTGCTTCTTGAAACGCTAACGTGAAGGTTGCTGGGTAGAAATTTAAGAACCGCGCGTTTCGGCCTGTATGCCTATCTCGGCAGTTCACTGAATCTTTCAACTGCTAATTGTTTAACCAGTAAGCTCGCTGAATCTCAGCTGTATTTTAGAACGCGGTTAGGTTAGTTACGATTTCAGAGCCTCGTAGGTAGTGATCTAGTTGTTTATTCATCCTGTCATTAATTTTTAGTTTCACATTTCTGTTTTTGTTAAACCGCCGGGTCGGCGTAGTTTGTGAGCGTCAAGTGAACGCAGCTGTTATTTCTAAAGTGGAATAAAAAGGGCTTTAAACCCTTCTTACATGTTTGTGTAAATTTACAGTTCATAGCAGTCACTACCACGGTTGCTGACAAGTTGGGGCCACGCACTACTACAAGTTAAAGAATTAGAGAAGGACCAACAGTGCCAAAAGGACTATTAATCATTTCAATTATGTATGTTTTACATATTTTAGAGTATTTGTTTCAAATAATAGTATTTTTAATACAGTATCTATAAAGTTTGTTTATTAAATTTAAAAACAAAAATGTGATAAATATAATTATTCATGAATTTTGCTTAAAAGTGTGAATACTCTTTTTCAGCTGTTATTGATAATAAGGTACTATTCCGTTTTGAGGACCATAAAAACTTGCAGCGAAAATGTATGGGCAAAAGCGCCAAATCTAACAAATGCGCACATTTAACAGCGCGCCATATCTAGCGTACGTGCTGATTTCAGATTGCGTAAGTTTATATAGTTCTATATTTCTTAAGATGCCATTGAAATACTATTTTAATTTTTAAATCCTTTTTTGATTTTAAATCCATTTTTAATATCCTATGGATTTAACAATTTGGGAATTGCCCATGATGAAAAGTCGGCAATAGAATTTTGGGTAAAGTGCAGAATCACCCACTGCTTGGCGCATTTTTAAGAATTGCATATACTCTGTATCCATGTGCACATCGACCTATTTTCACTTAAAAAAAATCCCAGAATTGCACAAAAAGGGCACTGCGCACACCCTTGGTTTTATCTATGTACACATTGACCTGTTTTCACTTAGAAAGTAAAATAAAATTGACAAAAATCCAATTGTTTTTACCCTTGTAAAAAGCAGAAACAAATACGTGGGCGATTCTGTAGTTTACCGAGAATTTTTTCAAAGAAAAGGCATCATTCATTATAAAAAATTATACTTGAACAACCAACGACATGAAATTATGCTTTAGCAATAACTCGGTAGCAAAATAGCGATGCAGGCATCCATTCAGTTATGTTTAGCAATTTTTATATAAATTATAATAATGATGTGAAATAGTTATTTACTCGTATGCTTCCATTCAGTCATGTTTAGCCTTTTTTATATAAATTATAATAATAATAAAGTATATGAAATTAACTTTTCATCTAAATTAAAACATCAATCTTAGATAGTTATTTACTATTATACTTCCTTTCTTGCATTAGGGTTGCCGCAATTATTTTTGGCAGCACTGGCATCAACAATAGTTTGGCGATTTTTTATTGCCCTCAAAACCGAATAGTACCGATAATAATTAGTAATGTATGAGTTGCAGTTACTTGATTTTGAAGTGTTAAACTATTCCAAATATTGGTGTGATGCTATAGATAGAATTTTCTTCGTAGAATGGAAATACATGCCTCTTTTATGCTGTTCAAAATGAGAATTTAGCTTTATGTGACCTATTACTACAATGTGGAGCTGATATGTGGGCAAATACAGAGGTAAGTTTGATATGTGGGCAAATACAGAGGTAAGTTATTACATGTCTAACATAAATTTTATGCTTTGCTGCATCACCCCCCCCCCCCCAAAAAAAAAAAAGAAAAAATCCTGGTTTAAATTATTCAATAATAGTTTATATCAGAAATGTTTGTTAATATAATTTTTGTTAATTTGATTAAAAGATTTAAAAAATTAAGATGATTAAAAAGCATGATGATCATTTAGCATGTTACTTTTCATTTTAACTAAATATTAAAACACAATCATTAAGAAGTACAAATATTTATTAACATTAACAATCTCTTAATTCTTATTACAAATAAATATAACAGTTGAACTACAATCCATTTGTTGCAATATCCTGTTGCCAAGGCAATGCACTTTTTAATATTAACCAGATACAATTAATAAATATATTAAAAGGAAGTTGCAAAGTAAAATCTTTTAATCAAAACGATTTTTTATAGTTCTATCACTCCTAGTTGCATAAGTTGTTCCCTGATTGTTTGAACCTTGAAAGCACTGTCGTGCGGTTTGACTGGTATTTCCTGAGGACAGCCTGGATAAGATAATTCTGCATCATAAAGCCAAGAATAATCTAAATCTGAACTTGATGTTTTCTTATATGAAATTAGTTTCTTCTCTTACTGTATGTAACTTCTTGTATAGTTTGTTGAATTTAATTACTTCTGTACTTTAAAAGAAAACTCAACTAATGAGTATATCTCAAGAATTCAAAACTTTTATTATTACAATTTTAAACAGTTCACATGACATTCAGCTAGCACAGTAACACGTCCATCACAACAACGGAATTGCATAGCATGAGCGCCATTAAAGTTATTTTAAATATACATCACATCCCTTCCTCCAGTTAATAAACAATAATAAAAATACAAAATAATATCAATACAAGTATATTTACAATATGACATACAATAACAAAAAAGTTACATAAAAATGATATATGCAGTACGTTACATTATTTTATTCCATGACAACTTTAAAGTATGTTTTTACACTACCATCTACTTTTTTGTAACATTTAGGCCAACCCTCTTTAATATATTTCATAACTATTTGCAAATCTGGATCTGATTCAGTTTCTTTCATAAATTGCACCACTCTTCTTTCACTCATAGGCAAATATTTTGAAATAATGTGAACAACATTTAGCATTTCAGGATCATCACTAATAGTTTCATTCACAGGATATGCTCATGACAAAGTGTCAGCAAAAAGCATTTAATTACTTTAACATAATTTTATCTCAAAATCATACTTTAGTAATTTTAAAGATCATCCTTTGCATTCTAGACGAGATTTTATGCAATGGTTTCTTAACAATTGCCATTAACGGTTTATGATCACTTTGTACTGTGACTTTCCGTCCATAAACAAAATTGTGGTACTTTTCAAAAGAAAATACTATGGCCAATAGCTCTTTTTCGATTTGTGCATAGTTTTTTTCACTATTAGTCGGGCTGCGAGACACAAATGATACAGACTTACCCTTTTGAATTAGACATGATCCTAGGCTATCCTTCGAACTATCACACTGTATAATTATATCCTCATTACCACTGAAAACTTTTAAAATTGGAGCTTTGGTTAGCAGTTGCTTGATGTTGTTAAATGACTCTTCCTGAGTTTCTCCCCAATTAAATTCTACCTTTTCTTGAATGATTTCTCTTAAAGGAGCAGTAACTTTAGATACATTAGGTATGAGTTTTGACAGAAAATATAACATTATTAACACCCTCCTTACTTCCGTTTTTTTATTTTGGTGTTGGCATATCAATAATTGCTTTAATATGACTAGGATCAGCTTTTACACCTGACTCAGAAATAATTTGGCCTACATATTTGACTTCCGGTACCCTATATTGTAATTTATCAGGATTAAATTTTATATTTAGAGACCTAGCTGTTTCAAGAACTGTAGAGATAATTATATCATGAGTAACCTCATCAGATCCTGCAATTATGATATCATCAAAATAAACTTCCACACACCCTCAATATCACCAAATAATTTTTGGTTTCTTTTCTGAAATATTTCTGGGGCGGAGGATATTCCAAATGGCATTTTATTAAATTTATATCTTCCATAAGGAGTATTAAATGTACATAGTTCAGAACTAGCTTCATCTAGTGGTACATGCCAAAATCCATCTTTTAAATCTACAACTGAAAATACTTTTTTTACCTTCTAACCTACTAATTATATCATCTGGAGAAGGAATTTGATAGTGTTCCCTTTTAATTACTTTATTTAGATCTCTAGGATCCAAGCATAATCTCAGACTCCCATTAGGTTTTTCAACTATAACCAAACTTTGAACCCAATCAGTTGGTTTATTTACTTTCGATACTATCCCTTCTCTTTCAAGTTTATCTAAAGTATCTTTTAATTTAGGCTGTAAAGCCTGAGGAACACACGTCTTGGGGGGTGTATTACTGGTATTGCATCATCTTTAAGGGTTATATGATATGGTTCGTCAGGAAATTGCCCTGTACCTGTAAATACATCTTTATACTGAGCAATTAAATCATTTTTATTAATGATATTGCACTTTAAGGAATCAATCCTTTCAATTAGCTTTAATGCAGAACAAGCTGTTAACCCTAATATAGGCTTAGATCTTACATCAAGAACATAAAACTGTAAAGGTACATTCTTAAGCCTTTCAGTTGAACAATTAATTATAAGAGTACCTTCTGGATTTAGCTTAAAATTACCATATGCAGTTAAGAACAAATCAGTTTCATTAAGTTTAGGCTTAAGTTTAACATTATTTAAGACGTACAAAGGCAAAATATTTACTTCTGCACCAGTATCTAACTTAAAATCAACCTTGAAATACTTATTATTTACATACATTGTAATACTTTTCACCCATGTTTCACTTACTTTGTGAATATCCTTATTTATTTCATCAATAGAATTTGTTAGATCTTTGATTGATTTTGCACTTATTTTAAATTCGCTATGCCCGTTTACTGGTGGATTCATCATTACAGAGTCAACAAATACACTATGTTCATTATCTATATTAAGTTCATTATTTGGTATTCCAACTTCATAAATGTTCTTGGGACACCTCGCGGCAAAATGGTTCTTTACTTTGCATTTCGCACACGTCTTTCTGAAAGCTGGACAGTCCCGATATTTGTGCCTACTTCCGCACTTCTTGCAGTCATATTCTAGTGCTGATTGCTTCTGCTGCGACGATAATTTCGGTGGCACTGACTGTTTTGATTGATGCTGCTGCTGTTTTCTATATTTCTTCACGCTGTTCACAGTTGCTGGATCGTCTTTCATGTTCCGGAGTTACTCTTTGCTTGTTAGCTTTTTCTAATCCTAGGTTAGATTCTCAAAGCAAACATTCGGTCAGACTCCTATCCCGAATGCCTAATACAATACAGTCGCAAATCAATCCATTTTCTTGTTCAGCAAACTCACAAGTTGAAGCTAAAGTCTTTAACTGAGTGACATAACATTCAATTGTTTGTCCTTCTTGCTGGCTACACGAAAAGAATTTGTAACATTCATATATGACATTCTGCCGTGGTGAACAATAATCTTCAAAAGACTTCAAGACCTCTTCGTATTTCTCTTTATTATCAGGTGGCTCAGATCGAAACGTGTTAAAAATTTCGAGTTCTTCACTACCGAGTAAATTCAAAAGGATTGCAATTTTAGTCTTATCTGGCTTGGCATCTTTTTCCGTTGCAAGTAAATAGTTTTCTAGCTCTTGCTTCCATTTTTTTTTTTCCATTTTTCTTTAACATTTCCGACGGAGAATTTTAGCAGAGCAGGTGGTCTGAAATCCATTTTGCTCCTGACACCATGTAACTTCTTGTGTAGTTTGTTGAATTTAATTACTTCTGTACTTTAAAAGAAGACTCAACTAATGAGTATATCTCAAGAATTCAAAACTTTTATTATTACAATTTTAAACAGTTCACATGACATTCAGCTAGCACAGTAACACGTGCATCACAACAACGGAATCGCATAGCGCCATTAAAGTTAAAGTTATTTTAAATATACATCACACTGTACTTCCACTTACTCTCTTTAGTAAGCATGATCTTGGAATTTTATGTTTCTTAACAGTTTTGGCTGACTGTCAATGATTATTAATATCAGTAGTACATTTTTTCCTCATTAAAATCTGGTCTTTCCTTGGATTGTATATCATTATAAAATTTAACTGTCCTTCTATTTGTTCCTTAAAATATTTTATTATTTTTGGTTTTAAGACTAACGTAATAACTGGTAATTTCTTAAAAAGCTGAAATATTTAAACACTCATTAAGAAGTACAAATATTTATTAACATTAATAATCCTTTAAGTCTTATTATAAGTCAATTATAACAATCCAGTTACAGTTTGTTTGTTATTATATTCTGTTCCCAAAGCACACTTTTAATTATTAACTAGAGACTGTTAACAAATATGTAAAACAACTAAACTGAACTTTTAAATCTTTTAAATATTTATCTTTCCTAAAGTAAAACAGCCCCCCCCTTGTGAGAAGATAATAGATGTAATTAAGTAAAATAATGTGATTTTTTCATTTTAATTTTTGTTGCATATTGGATCTGTAATGTTTTGAACAGATAAATAAATTTGAATAGCATTTTACATTTTTGTCCAGTTATTTCTAGCATAGTTTTTTTAATTCTTTTATGTGTAGCTTAGTACTAAAAATATTGTTTTAGGTATTATATATATTTTTGATTTTCTTTGTGTTTTTAATTTAGTGTTACCTTTTGTACAGTTCTAAATTTTATATGCAAATAAGTTCATAAGTCTTAATTTTTAGTACAGCAGCTGTAAATGCTATTTTTTTTTAAAAAAATTTATTTTTAGTTAGGTGTTTCAGTATATGATTATGTCATGGAAGAATCTGCATCTAAGCAGCTTAAAGAAATATTTATGAAATTTTATGTAAGTATTTTCTAATTTCGTCTTAAATTTCTTCCCCCCCTCTCTAGAACATTGGCTGACTTTATGCTGATTATGAATAATTGAATTATTTTCTATATTGTCAATAATAGGGATTTATGTTTGATGAACTTAATGAAGAATAAAAACATTACTGAAGCTCAAGGAGAGAAATCAAAACAATTGATATAGAAGAGTAAAATGTACTAAACTCCATTATTGATGAATTAATCATTCTGTAGAATTATTCACTGTCAAGTGGAAATAAAATTCAGTTCCCGAACTGGGAACATTGAAGGCAAGAGCATTTAAGAGAAATCATTAAAAGGCCACTAAAATTGCAAAATTTTTCACCGTATAAATTAGCTAATCGGATGTACTCTATTGATTATTTGGACTGAAAAATTTGTAAATGTAGCCTTTTTTTCAGCTACTTGCATAAATGGGAAATTCAAAATAATATTTAAAAGCATTTTTAGACCTTTCTTTGGAGTTGTGAACATATTGATTTATTATTTTATCCTTTCTTGATTAATTTCTGTATAAAAGTATTAACATTGGTCCTATCCGTGTTTCATGTATTTACATACTTCATTTTCCCGAAGCTCTTAATGCGAATAAAATAAATGATCATTATTGTAATCCAGCTGTGAAACACTTTTCAAATAATAACAGTTATTCAATTTACAATTATTCTTATAATATAGTATCACAGCCAGTGGCATAGCTAGAAATTTTGGGCTCTTAAGCAAAACTTAAAATAAGTATATGTGTGTGTTTCTGTGTGTAAAAAAGATAAAAAATGTGTAAACATAAATTATAATTAAGCATTACGGGATTATTGCTAATTTAAATTATACTGTATATTTACTTGTTTTTAATCTTTGTTACATATTTATATATATATACATATAAGAAAGTGTTTTACATATTTGTGTCAGAAAGATAAAAATATGTAAATATAATTTATAATTTAAATTGCACTATGTCATATCAAGTTTAATCCATGTCTAATGACTTGCATAATGCTAGTGATATAAATGGAACTAAAACGGAAACAGCCAATAATAATTTTACAGCTCTATTAATCATCTAATGAAATGCATTTAAAACTGAAATTAACTTATTCTGAATTAAGATTTTATCCTGAATGCAAGTCATTTGCTTTCTGCACTTCAGCCGAGACAGACTGCTTCTTCAATTTTTACCACAAAGCTATGCAAAAAGTAAATGTTCTTGAAAATGCATGAGTAGTGTGCCAGTTTGTTTGTGGCCATAAAATGTTTACTAAAATATAAATGAATATTTAATCTACCGTGGCTGCCAAGTTTCTGCTCATTATGGATCAACATATCCTGGCACAAACTTAACGTGTTTCACTGTGGCTGGTTCACTAAATAAATCGTACAATATAAGAACCATATTTCCTTCACCTTAATTTAATTACACTAATTCTAAATATAAAATAAGACATGCGAAATACATAATACAAAGTAAGTGAGCCATTCTACATCGCTGTCACAAACACAATAATTCTATGAACCCCTAGTCTCATTGTCACATGCAAAAAGTAGAAGGAAAAAAACTCATTCTACAATGACAAATCATAGATCAATTAATTATTTTCAACTTCCGGTGGGCGTGGACTGATGGTTCAGCCATCAAATAAACAAGTTAAGCGATCTTAGATTTTATACTCTACTCGCAGCATTCACATGAACATCCTGGCTTCCACTGAAACCCTAGGGGATTTCAACTATTAGTGATTTTTTGCAGCTTCTTTTTCTGTAATCAAAATACTACTATTAATAAAACTAATACAAAATTACTAGATGTAACACAGTTCACAGTTTTTAGTGTGTATAAGAAGAGGACACAATTTCACGATAGGTCGTTTGATGACACCATGACAAATTTTCATGCTTATAACTGTTGTCTGTATGATCTGAGCTGGATGAACAGCAATTATTTTCTTTAACTCCCATTTAAGAGCTGGAAGATTGTCTTCTTTAATGAGAACTAAATCATTGACGTCTAAATCTTTTTGACATTTTTGCTACTTTGATCTTTGCTGAAATCCTGACTCCAGTTTTTCCAAAATTGTTGAAAAATGAACTGTCTCACATGCCATCTGTCAAGATGATTTAAGGAACTGTGACTCAGATATCTTTTGTACTGTCATTATCAGCCTTACTAGTAGAGGTGACTTCAGCTAATAATATAGTTTTTCGTTCAGCCTGTTTAACCTAATTGGCAGATAAATAATCTACTGAAGAAGTTTTTTCTGGGTATGATGTTTTAATGATAAAAATTTCTAATTTGGAGAGCATTTTTCTTTTTTTCTTTTTAAAGTACTTTGCCCCCCCCCCCGTTTTTGTACCCACTTTTGTTTTTTTATTTTCATTTTAACAAATAATATATATAGTATTTTATCAATTGTCATAATTATTTTAATATTTTTTACCCTCAAATTTTATTTTCCAACCAATAAGCTTAAGAGTTGTTGAACTAAATATAGCACACAATCTATTATAGGATGCAGACATTTAGCTGTTCTGGTTGCCCCTTTCATCAAATGCAAATGCACAATCTAACTAAAATGAGCCTATTTGTTTTGTTATGTTTTAATGTCTTCTTATTGGATTGCACATTCACATTTGATAACAGTGCTACTGTATTGCAGACAGGCCAATTCATGTGAACAAAAGAATTCATTATGCAGTGCTGGACTTAACAGCAAACAAGATCAGCCACTCTAGCATTTAATTATTTTTCCAATTTTTATGTTATTTGAAAAGAAGCTATAAAAAAGTCTTTTATAATTAATGACAAAATTCCTTCAGAAAACTTTAAATTAATTCTGTACATATAAAATATCAAAGATGGATTCAGCAAAAAATTTGTTAATTTATTTTACTTTTCTATTGTTAGAAATCAGAAAGTAGTGGGCATTTAAAATGCATAGCCTTTTAGGTATTATCTAATCTTTGCCTATCTTTAGCTATATGACAGCACATTAGTATGACAGTCCTGCATTGATGATAACATACTGCACACCAAACTGCTTTTATTAATGCATTAAAAATTTACATTCAGTCTCTGTTGTCTTTGTTATTTACATTTTACAACAGAGAGGCTTTTCTTTCAGAGCCTATAAAGTAAAAATCATATAGCAGCAAATGCTGCTTTGAGTTTAATAAGGGCAAAACATATAAGGCTGTTTGGCTTACATGAGGAATGTTTCATGGAGTACTTGAGAAAAATTAGCCCATGCTTATGTTAGATATGGGCAAAAATATTTTAAAAACAGAGTTAACTGAACTAATTTGACAAAAATTGAACCTAGTGTAAAGTAATCATATGACCTGTATATTTAATGCAGTGTTTCCTGCTGCAGGATATGTTGCAAATTCTGTAAATATTCTTAATAATCAATATGAATTTTCTTGGTATCATTCCATACTGTCTCTGAGATATTTTTATGGTGTCAGAAATATGTTCAGTTATCAAATAATATAACATTTGAAATTTATGCAATATATGTAAAACATTCATGAAAATAACTGTCTGTAGATAAATTGTCTACAAAAAGAATGATTTCAGAAAATAATTTCTAGATTTCTATTAAAAGTGATTTAAACTTAGAAATCAAACAAGGAAATTAAATTGTCTTCAGAATTCGAAATGAATCTTTCTTTTACAGAAAAGTTGAACATCTGAAAAAAAAAAAAAAAAAAAAAAAAGGAAAGAATTATATGATAACAGATTATTTAATGAAATTGAATTTCATTTAAAAATGACCATAAAATTAAAGAATTATCTCAGCATAAAGCTCAATGATAGATTTTTTTCCACCAATTTTTAGGATAATCTTATTCCTTTACTATCTGTAATATTAGTAAATGAACCTTATTTACTAGGAACAAATACAGCAGTAGAGCATGTTTTTCAATAATAAAATAATGGAATCTCTCTTTATGGCAGTCTCCGATAGAAGTGAGTAGTATTACATTCAAGACCAAAATTCTTTGGGAAGTTTTCAGGGCAATTTGTTTTTCCTCCTTAAGTTGCTAAAATTTTTGGATTACCTTCAGAAAAATCTTTTAACCTAAAGAAAAATCACTTTAACCTAGACTAAATTACTAGTGTTCCATGGTTTTAGCCATTCAGTAGCTAGCAAACCAAAATTATATGTATTTTTCTTAAGGTAATAATAACTCTTTAAGTGCTTTACCATATTGAAGATTCAGAAGACTACAAATATATTATAATGCATAGTCATTCATATAAAAATACAATTAATGAAATCATTTATTAATTCTATGGTTTCCATTTTTGTTAGATGTTTCAAAGTTACTTTTGAGTTTCAATGTTGAGATTTAAATTTAAATCAAAAAGACAACCATGATTATTTTTTGTAATTTTACATGAATAGTTCAAGTTAATGGGTTGACTGTTTAATTCTTCTGACACATTTGCTTTTTTCAAATTATAGTACGTAAGTGTAGGACTATGTCTAAAGAAATCACAGGATGTTCTTGGTACTTAATTATACGAGTTCATTAATATATGATGTGAAATCTATGCTATTAATGAAACTTATTTTATCCATGTTAAAAATCAATATCAGCAAATGAAATGGTGTAAAATTCTAATGAATATTAAAATGTTTAGTCTGATTTTAATATTGAAAGATATATTTTAGAGGTAAGTAACATTAATCACTTGACCTATAAAGTTGAACCATTGTTATCTTTTTTCTTCTTGAATAAAAACTTTTTATCCAAAAAGGAGGGAAAATGAACCTGAGATTAACAATCACAACTTTCATTTCTAAATGTACTTTAAAAGTTTTTAAAACCTATTTATTTTCTAGCCAGGTCTTTGGAAAGCTGTTGAACATGAAGATATTTATCAAGTCAGGAAACTGATTAATTTGTGGTGTCGAACTAATCTGCACAAGGTAGTTTTAATTTGTCTTTTATATAGCTGCATATATATCCTTGTTAACTTTTAAGTTGAAGATAGTATTATTTCTGTTCATTTTAAATAACGTATTTTCTGTCAATCATGTAGCATGCATGTTTATTACTCATTTTCTTTGTTTTGAACTATTTTGATTCTCTGAGAGAGGAATTGAGATTGATTTTGATATCATCTTTATTTAGTTGCTCTGCATGCAAAAATAATTAAAGATTTTCCTGGATATCCAAACTCTAATAATAATTTGTCCCATCCAGTAAAGTAGCTTTATGTCAGATTTATGATAAATCATATTTCATAAATTGAAAGTTTTGATTTTTAAAGAGATATGTGAATTACCACAGACTGCCTGCTACTTCTAAAATAATAAATCAAATATCATAAGCTGAAAGTTTTTATTTTGAAAGGGAGATGAGGATTTACTGTAAGCTATTGACTATTTCTCTTCTAGTCTATTGACTATTTGTTATCTATCATAACATAGTTTTTTTCCACACAGAGGAAAGCAATATTTTGACAAAATAAATTTATATTACAATATACTTTCAGTTTTTATTTTTTATTTTATTATGTAAATATCTTTAATATTACTTGATTTGCATATGTGTTACCAAGAATTTCTAATGCAGGTATTTTATGCATATAAAGGGGTACTTTTTTCTCCTCTCTTTTTTGGAGGGCGGGGAGGCAGGTTGAGGAAGAATGGGGATGGCTTTCTTTTTTTCCTTTCTCATTATTATAAGACCAATTAAAGCAAATATATACTTGATAGTGTCATTTATTTTCATGAGCCTTTTCTTGTAGAAAATTTTTTAGGCTACTTTTGGTTATCTCATGTTATGTTTTCCTGCATTTTGTTAAGAAATGAAATAAACACAAACTATTGTTTCCAGATGTAGGGTATTTCATGAAAAAACTACAAATGTTTTAACACTAGGGAAATCAAATTATTCATGATGGAAAACGTACAGCAAAAGTGTAATGTTAACAACTGCTGACAATGTGTTAAGAACTGAAAAATGGCTTTAGAGAAGTCACTTTCCTTTTTATTTACTTTCATAAGAAAGCAGAGACAAGCAGCAGAGAATAACAATATATTCAATGCATTGTGAAATCATCCTTACTAAAGATTTGAAAAATGTACACTGCTCAAAAAAAAAAATGGGACAGTGCTATATCTCCCGTTCTATTGGGCCGATTGACAAAATTCAAACTGCGTTTTTCATGTCTCGAAAGCGCGACTTAGGATATATATTAGATTTATATATAGCACTATTCTAACATAGGTATTTTGACACAAAATCGGACTTTTTTGAAATAACATAACATAACCAATGTTTTTACATATTTCGATTCTACGACTCAAATTATGCCAGAATACCAAGTTTTGTAAAAAATCGTACGAATAGTTTTTAAAATATTAGCTCTCAAAATTTTAGCTCCTCAATGTTAATTGAATTTGGCAAATATTTATTAATATCTCTTTTTTTATTAAACTTTTTTGATTTTTTTTCTCTCACATTTCGAAATTTTGATTCATTCCAAATAAAATTTACCCATTTTTCGCGTTTTTTATTTTTTAAATTTTATTTTAAAATAATTTTCTATAGATTTTTCGAAAAAATTTTGAATTATAACCTATAAAACTTTTTACCAAAATCTTTTTTTATTCAAATTTTTCTAAGATAGGTGTATTTTTAAATTTATATCTCATTAAAGTAGGTGTATTTTTAAGCATATCTGCAAAAAATTAGACTTTTTTATTCAAAATTTTCTAAGATATACACGAATTTACATAATTTCGCGTTTTGAAATTTGGCACTTTTTTTTTTGAGCGATAATAACGCCAAATCTGGTCTATGGATTTTTGTTACACTGAATTGCCACAGCTATTTTTAACCTTAAACTTCAAGTAAAATTTTACGAAGAATTAATTATATGACATTTTTTCCCTCAATGATGTGTAATAAATATTAATTAATACTATATGAAAGGCTATTTTTTAAATTATAGATGATAGTATTCAAATTTTTAATTATTTTTTTTTAATTTCTCTCGTATCTTTTCTTTTTTTAAAAAATTTAAGAGTAAGTTTTTGTAAGAGTAAACTTTTACCTTCGGCGTTTTATCGTCTGCTACTTTACTTCGTTTAAATCGAATTGTCTAAAACTGAGAATTTTCGTTTGATATTTATTTGAATTTTATGACATTAACTGCATAATTTATTTCTAAACAAACTGTTGCTTTTGAAGTGGCTGAAAGAGCGGCTGATATTATCATCCATATTTTAAAAGCACAATATATTTTTATAGAAACATAATATTTAGAATAATCATTTTTTATAAAAGTCAAATTATGATATAAACATACAACCCTATAGAGAATGAATTAATGAAAGTTCAATGGTTATGTAGAAATGATCTGCAGTTACTTAATGGCTGGATAAGTCAGCAGATTCTGTGGACAAGTAAGAATAATTATATAAACGACACCCAACATTCTGGATTCAATAAACAACGAGGATACGATGTTTTTACTAAATGAATTTAAGAAGTTTTTAAAACATAAAAAATCAACTCATTTTTTTTTTCCTAAAATGTATTTTTGTGCGTAGCGTATTTTCATTATACCCTTAAAATTCTAATTTAGAATGTAATTGTCAAGAACTGAATCCTAATCATCAGTAATATAATAAGTAATTATTTACGGTTATTAATAATCCTTCTTATAAAGTAATTGCAAATATTTCAAAAAAAACTTTCTGTCTGAATGCAAACATTTTTCTATGCAAATATTTTAAATTTTATATTAATCAAGATTGCACACCATATTACTTTATTTCCACTTCAATTCTTACCGTCAGTTCTAGTAGAATTTACAAATCAATTATATTTAATTAAGGATTGGATTGGATTATTTAATTATGGCAAAGCACATGAGGGCTATCTGCCTAAAGGGAGGGATGCCTTCGTGGAGGACTTTCTAAGGGAAACTGGCTCGTATACACATTACACATGGGGAAAACCACGAAACCGCCCATGCGGCCAGCCCGTTCGCGGGATTCGAACCTCGGACTGAACTACCAGTGTTCAGCGTCTTTACCGCTCGGCCGTTGGTGGGTTATTTAGTTAAGGAATGGCCATCTAAGTTAAGAAGTTAAGAAACAGCGTACCGTAACAACATTTCAATTATTGGCGCCGTATCTTTCATGTTACTCCCGATTGGCTAGCTACATGATTTTTAATGAGTATTCGGATTTTACTAGTAACTTCACTTGGAAATCGCGCTTAAACTAGGTTAGTTGGTTATTGGAACATAGAAAGAACATGGGAGCTATTTGATTAAGATGCTTTCATAGAGAATCTTTGTAAAGAGAACCTATAAAACTACGAAAACCAATCATGCAGCCTGGGTTAGACTGAGCAGCAAACAATTAGTATTTAACAATCTTTTTTTTTTTTTTTTCCAATGCTAGGCAACTGATGAGGCTCCAATTTAATATTTTTATTAATTATTTATTTAATATTTAATATTAATTTTTATTTTATTTTTAATTTAATTTTTTTTTTAAATATTGTTGTATTCTTAGACACAAAAAGCAGAATTTAAGTTTTGTTAACTCGTTAGTAAACTACCAAAAGCCGTAGTGCAAATGAATATTCAATTTCTTTTGGCAATAATTATGCATTCACTTAATATTCTTGGAATATGAGCTAAAGAAGGAACGTTCTCGGAAGATTAAAGAAGTGTTTAAATCCAGTGATATTAGGTTTGTCTTACAAGCTCAGGATCAAAACGATTCTGCAATTGCCCGAGTAGTTGACTTGTAAATGGATGTGAATTAAGCAGATGACTTTTAATCTTACGTTTTCAGTCAGAAAACGTATTCCAAATGTTTTGTATTGCATGAGAATGCATATTTTCATTATTCAATAACCAGTCGGAGAACCGCTTGTGTTCCGAAAATAAGTATGTGTACTCAATCGTCCTGCATGTTCTTCAAATTTGTCTTCTTGTGATTTTTTTTCTTTCCCAAAAACTAAAGTTGCCTCTCAAAGGAAAGTTTTTTGACATTGAAGAGACAAAAGGAATATGGACATCTACTTTTAGAGGCATGTCAAAAAATAGATCTCTACAAACCATCTCTTCTATTACATGTTGTGCAGTCAGACAAAAAGTTACATCAGCGTAAATTCTATAATCTTTTTTTTATTACACTTTGATTACTTTATTAACATACAGTGAATATATACTAAATCTTTTACTTTAGCTTAAGTAATTCGGAATTTTTGACGGAATTGTTGTCGGAACTAGGACTTAGAAGATAAGTCAAATTAAATATTTCGATAACCCAATAAATTCAAGTTCGAAATTTCAATATTTTATTTTCGGAGGGAGGGGAAATGTTTTCAGTTTTGGTCCATTATACTAAGTATATTTGCTTCAATTTTTTATTTTTCCATAAAAGCGAAAATTTTGCGCATGGTATACATATAACGCATAGCTTCTAATTAAAATTTAATAATATACAGAGTGGTTATAATTAAAGTTCCACATTGAAACGGTCATAAAAGGAAAACTACTGGATCAAATGTTATCAAACTTGGAAATCATGTAAAGGAGGTCATGGGAATTTATTTCCCGCGAAAAAAAGGAAGTTCGAAACCTCACCACCAGGGGGGAAATGGAGCTGTATGCAATATTGTTAAACGAAATATGGGTCGGAATCTAACTTAACCTTTTGTTAAACGGGTTTTAATATGTTGTATACCCTTAAGAAACTTTGAAGTAGGCAAATTACCATTTAAAGACGTTAAATTCGATAAATGTCGAGTGCGCCATCCCTGTAAGTGAGAATTTCGTCCGTGAAAAACACGAATTAGCGATTAGAAAATGTGAGATCGCAAATCACTCTCACAAGCGTGTACAATCTGGAAATCGTTTTCTTACAGATCGCTAATTGTTAATTTTTTAAGCCTG